AATTATGACAAATCGAAACTCTTGTGGATCAAACTTGTTCGTTCTTAATTTCTTGCCATCAAGGGTCCTACCATTTCTTCCAAGTTATTGAGCAGCTCACCCTTACCTTTCAATGTACTTTCCATGCATAGAGACAAGAATATGTCAACACGATAGGTTACAAACCTCAAGTCGTGTGCTAGTAATTAACAACACTTTACTCTCAATTAGTTCTTGAAACATTTCAAGATCTTTAGAATCCCATTGAACTCTTGACATATTAAATTCTCTTATCAAGAAACATTTCTTGACAAAACAAATATTCAAGAGTTAGTGTGTGTATATATCAAGACAAAACCTACACACAATTTTGTACTAGTTGGTCTTTGTCTTATTCAAGACATCACAACTTACCAAAATGTGCAAGTGTAAGAACATTGCTACTTAAGATTATGTCACTCAAGTCACAATCTTGGAGTATGACTCTAAGACTTGATTTTGAAACGAAGTACGATACATCTTATTGACTTAACCACTACAATAATTCTTGATTCCTCTTCTTAGCCAAACTAGTGCACTAAGGTTTCCTTAGAGGATGAATTGTAATATGGTTCCTACGATTACCAAGACGATCATAAAACATGATACAAAGGTACTCTCCCTTCTTCTTAGATTGGAGAAACTTTTTATCTTTCTTCCTTCATTGATTCTACTTATTCGTTCTACCATTCATTGAAACTTTTCAATGATTTAAAATTACACTTAATCTTGTAAGTATAACCACATTTACTAGACTTTTAGTAAATCATGACGAATAATGTTATTTTTATTTATGGTGGACTTGACCAATGCACAACATTGTGAACTCGATCTCCTAGTCCTTCACTTGACTCTTTGTCAAGCAATTAGCCTTAAATTTTCTAAGTACCATGATTTCCATACATCACATGATTCAAATCATATGATTCAAATCATATGATTCCAAGCTTCTGTCCAATTGAAACTTTGGTGATAGGAATCTTTCCTTACTTAGAAAATTATGACATTACCATCTCATACATTTAATATTGCTTATAATGGAAACACACAGACATCCATTTTCACAATTTCCATTGCAAGGAAATATAAATAAGACAAAATCAAAATTTATTTTATTGCGGAAAAATATATCCTTACAATGCAAATGAAAACTATGTTATTACATATTCCTAAGCAATTTATCATAACTCTAACCAACAGCTCAAAAATCCGATCATCGAATCCATGCAATCGTAATCTATCTATTCGCGATCAGACTCAGCTCGCTCCTTCCTTTAAGCTTCCTTTCTTTTCTTCGATCCTTCAAAACATCAAAATGTAATATTATCATATAATGTATTAAGAATCTCCAAATAGGAACTTAATCGAGTTTGATAGTGAATTTTACCTGAAGCAGAGTCATACATCTTGACTCTCCCATCTCTTAGATTTCTCAGGTAGTTAGGCCAGCTTCGTAACCAATTCCCCCTCTTTTAGTAGTAGAAACATATGGATTCTTCTGGAATGGTACATGGGACTATCTCAGACTCATCCTTTCTCTTGCATAGAGAAAACTTTTCTGGACTTCCAATGTTATCATTGCCGATAGAAGGTTGGGACACTGATTTACCTGACAAATGTGCTTGACCAGTACGCCAAATCATTTCTGATTCATCTGCACTAAACAAATAAGTCAAATCAATAAGGGTCACGTTGTGTTCCATCATATAGTACTCTCTAACGAACTTACCATATGAATCAGGAAGTGAGCGAAGAACCAAGTTAACACCCAACTTCTCTGAGACTTCGACGCCCAACATTCCCAATCTATCAATATGAAACTTCATATCCAAGACATGAGCGCACACCGACTTTCCATCTTTGTGTCTTTTCGCCAATAGGGCTTGAGCGACCTTGAAATTTTCAAGTCTTCGAATACGTGGGCCAGGGAGAATTATTGGAGGAGGTGGAGCAAGTGAAGAATGATTTCCATTTCCAGAATCCAATCATGGAACATCATTTTCAAGTGGAAAAACTTTTCAAATGGATTCAGGAATACCATAGTTGTTAGACTTTGACATCTACAAAACAGGAGAAAATTCAAGTTAGTTGATTGAGTCCTTAATAAAACGCCCAAATGAGATATTAAGGCTAGGACCCAAAACAATATTCTACAATATGGAAGATGGATGCCCTAATCCAAATTGCAGAATATTTGAAGGTAGGTAAATGACGATTTACCAATTTCTACCATGAAAAACGAAAAAACAAGGTTATGTTTTAAATGTATTGGAAACTCCTAGATCTTTTGAGATTTTATGAACTTTTCAATGGCATGTTTAAATCTCGATATGCTCCTCGATTTGTGACTGAGATGTCGAGGATCACAAAACAGGGTGTGAATAACCATGCAAACATATATGGTGCCCCCAATGTTATAGTCATCTATTCGATGTGACGATTAACCATACACGCTCCACCGAACTATGAAAAACATCGAGTCACCCTTTGCTACCTTTTCTTAGAACCTATTTAGTGTGTCGGTTAACCACACACGCTCAACTAATGTCTTAGCAAGGGTACAAAGTATAATTTCATGGAATTTCATCAAATTCACTTTTGCCTAAAGTAACTAAGATTGAGAATTTTTTTTCATAAAACATTTAGTTACTTTAACATTCATTATACTTTTAATGAGGAGAAGGTTTTCCCTATCCTACCCGTTCGGCTAACAACCATCCACCAATCAAACGGACATTTTATAGGCCATAACCTTATACCCCCTTATAGATCAGCTTCGTGAATGAGGTCTACTAACGGTAAGACTAGTTGTTTAAGTTATACATATATAATATTAGACTTTTAATTTTATATATAGTATAAGGGTGTATTTTACACTTTTTAAAATACTAGGTGGTTTAATTTTATAATTTACACTTTTAATTTAATTAAATATAAACCATATCTCTATGGATTTATTAACTCTCTTTTAATTATACATTTAATTAATTTAATAAAACCATAAGGGTGTAATTTGAACTTTTCAAAGATAAGGGTTTAGAATTTAAATATTTTAAAATTAAACTTTTAATCAAAATTTTAAATTCCAAAACTTGAGGACAAGTTTTGAAACTTTTCAAAACTATCTAGATCAAATTACAAATAATTCCATTAATGAAATAATTGGTTATTATCTAAATTTGATATAATTCAATTTCTTGCAAGATAATTCAAATCAAATAATTCAAATAATTAGGGTTTATCAAATAAGGCAATAATTATCTAATTAAATGACAATTATCTCTAATTTTGACAAGGATAATCATAACAAATTAATAAAATTTGGATTTTATCAATCAAAAACAATTTTGGTAATTATCCAAGCTCAAAATATGTCAAAATCCCGAGTTTTCTATCATCTGCCCCGACACCACCACGTGGTGATTTTACCACCTCGTGATGGACCACCACCTCGTGGTGATTTTCATCACCTTGTGGTGATCAGTCAGAAACAAAAAACGAAATTTTTTCTGCTTTGAAAACATAACTTTTGCATCTAATACATTAGAAAACCACCCTAAGCTCTAATACCACTGATGGGTTATGAGCACTACATCGATCCTATGGTTTACATGAAAACTCTAAAACGTTGGATCTAGGTTTATCTAATTGTACATCCAAGTTATCCAAAGCTCATAAACCCTAGATCTAATATACTATAATCGAAATTAGGGTTTAGATATTACATTTGATTGTTATGTAGCAATAGCAATCTATTCCTTCTTGTAATTGACTACTGAAAGCTTAGTGCCACACCTCTAATGGATTACAAACACCAAGAGCAAGAGGATGACTTAGGATAGGAGAATGAGGCACCAAAAACGTCCAAGAAACTCCAAGGAATGCTTAGCCAGGTTTTTGGGTGCCCTCTGAGTCTTTATATAGTGAGGCTATTAGGGTTTTGAACTACGAAACCCTAATCTGACTGCTTAGGCCCTACGCAGCCTATGGATTCCCTCCTTAGAGGCCTTGGACGAATTCTCATGTGTTTTCCCATAGATTCCATCCACTCCAACCTCTATGGAGTCCATTAGCCCAATATCTAACTATCACACAATTGACAGTTCTAGCCCCCTTTATTTAATTAATGTCTTTTAGCCACAAAATTAATTCTTATTATTTCTTGACTAATATTAATTAAATAATATGATTTCTATTTTAATATATATATATATATATATATATATATATATATATATATATAATATATTAATAAATCATAATCAATCTTTTTCTCCACAATTCATCCTACAAGTTGCTATGGTGATGGCAACCCAAAAGGAGCATTCTCATATTCGGGTCAACTGCATACCAAATAGTTAAGCACTTAGACACTAATCCAACAGTTTAACATGCATGGACCATCATATTGGTTTAGCCCATCCTAATCAACCATGGATCATTGACCCATACTATAAGAATCATTGATTTACTCAATCAGTCCCCGTATATTTAATCAGTCTCTTTTGATCACTAAATTAATTCCAAATTAATTCTTGATCAATACTAATTAAATAATATGATTTCTCAATTAATATATTATACTTATAATATATTAATAAATCACAAATAACCTTTTTCTCAAAAGTTCATCCTATCAAATTGCTCCGATGAAGGCAACCCAAAAGGACCATGCTACTATTGGGTCAAGTACATATCAATTATAGTTATGGACTTAGACACCTAATACAGTAGTTATAGTTATAGTTATCTCCTCGAAATTCGATTTGACAAGAGATTTCTTCTTAGATGAAACATCACCCTCTAGTGTTTCAGGAACTTCTTCTTCTTCCATTGAGTTGTCCTGAAGTACAAATTTTTCTCTTCATCGTCTTCTTTGAAATAAGTTTTGCAACATGCTCAACCCTTCGCTTCTTAGAGGATGGAGAAACTGGTACAGGGACTTCGCGAATGATAAGACCTTTCCGAGTGACATGTGGCTTTCAAACCATTGAAGGAGAAAATCTTGATGTTCTTTCAGGAGAAGTTCGTGAGCGATGAGCAATATTTTTAAGACACTTAAACACACCAATTTTCGAAGGAACTATTTCCTTTGTAGGCTCAACCATTTTAGTCTCAATAGCTCGTTTGATTTCTTCGAAACTTTGACCGCCTCTCCAGCGTTTTTTTTGTGACTTAGTTACTTTTGCCTCTTGAACAGGTTTCTCAGGAGTAGTTTCATCAACCTTCTTTGGCTTTCGAGATTTTTTCGAAGGACCTTCACCAGACCTTGGTAGTAAGGCACCAGATTCTTCATTAGGGCTAATAGTTTGTAAATACGCCATCAACACCGGATTTGATGGATCATCCTTTTTGAGCATTCCTTTATTACTATAAAAAGGGTTAATTATTTTAATAAACATAACCACACTTAAATAACATACAAAATTTAGAGAGAAAACAAAGATAAAGAAGTAATAGATCAACAAGGTTTAAAGTTTTTGAAGTGCAGATTTCAAAAAGAAAGAGTTAAATGTTGAAGTATCTATCTATATCATACATACTTATAATGTTAGCATTTTTTCTTGAATCTCATGCATTTGAAACCCCATTTTTTTGAACTTCCTCAAACCACATTCATTTGAAACCCCCTTTATTAACTAATGCAACTCAAAAGTTTTATAACTTATATTATGTTTAATTAGCGTTTAGTGAAAAGTTTACTATAAAAGCCCAATCTTTTGGGAATACATGCATACAAATCATATACAAATTTCAGAAAGAAAACAAACTTAAAGGTTTTTGTCTTGGGTTGAGGTCTTAAGACCTTTTGGAGATATGTTATTATATTAGAGCTTTTAATTTGTAACTTTGTTATACTAATTCGTTTTTATATTTTCTTCGTTTTTGGATTATTGTAATACAGTTGTTGTATATCGTGGTTTAATCGTTAATATATTGATCATATGTTATATAGGGTGATGTCGAAAATATTTAATTAAATATTTTAAATATGTTTTCTTTGTTTTGTAATTGTACCATTTTAAAAAGATAATTAATTAAAACTCATACATATGTTATACTCTTCATCTCTCTCTCTCTCTCTCTCTATATATATATATATATATATATATATATATATATATATATATATATATATATATTATAATAGAGGTCAAAACACTTCAACCAAAATTCATTTAAAATCTAATATTTCAGATGTTTTTTTAATAATGATTGTAAAAATTTCAACATGTGTTACTTAATTGATTGATTAATAAAAATATAAATGTTTTGAAACTCTTAACTCTTAAACTTATATTATTTAATTTGTTAGTTAACTAAAATATTTTTCCTACATAAAGATAATATTTTTATGTTTGGTTACCCATATTTGTTTACGTAATTAGAAAACAAGGTGTACATAGAATGACTACTTCAATTTCATATAGAAATCGATACCACTAGAGAGGTATGTTGTCTTTAATCAGTGGTAGGAGATCCACATACCCTTTTTAATTATTTATAATAATGCTTAGTAATATCTATTTTATATTCCTATTCACCTTAATTTTTTAGGTACATATTAAGGAAGATGATTCTCGGCGCACCAACATAAAGTCAAATGTACGCCTTGCAAAATATGGAATTAAAATTAATTATCATATTTAATAATTGACTAGTTTTAAAACTCTTGATGACATTTATGTATAATGATATATTTTTTAGGTACATATTAAGGAAGATGATTCTCGGCGCACCAACATAAAGTCAAATGTACGCCTTGCAAAATATGGAATTAAAATTAATTATTATATTTACTAATTGACTAATTTTAAAACTCTTGATGACATTTATGTATAATGATATATTTTGTATGACTTTATTCTTAATTTCAATGTTTAATATATGAAAAATTCATATATGAAACCTTGGATGTTTTTGTGTAATATAAATAGTGTAATACAAAGTTTATTAGTTCAATATTGTTTATTAATAGCTCATTCAAAACAAATTATTTCTTATTTTATCCAAAAAAATATGATTGCACATAAAAAAAAGTAGATTATATGAATGTTATACAAAAACTTATAATATATATTGGATATTATAAAAGTAAAAGTAAAGTTTATAAGGTATGAAATATATTAGATAGTATCAAAATATATGTTGATGGATTTTTATGCGATTTGGTAATTCGGTTAATGCCCAAAACATGACTAAAAACGTAAATTTCAACATATTTCTATTTTTTCCCATAATTATTTTAACCATTTAAATGCATTCTTATGCAAAACGCGAGGTACGCCTAATCATACATACTTATAAAGCTCGTATTTTTTCTTGAATCTCATGCATTTGAAAGTCTCATTCTTTTTTCCTTTCACCACATTCATTTGAAACTCCCATAACTTTTCAATTTCTTTATTATAATAATTATAATTTGGTAGTTAGGTTAAATAAATATGAAATCTAAAGTGTATTCATATATAAACTAAATTTCAATATTAAAATAATATCTTTAATTCTACTTATAAAATTATGTTTTTTTAACTTTTAACATATTATACTTAATTTATCAGTTTTAATATATTGTTGAATGTAAACCATTATCATTTTAAAGGTATAATTTTTGAACAATTTGTATAAAATACTTAAATTATTAATTAAAATAAAATATTATAGGCTCAACTTAAATATAAATTTTATTTAACTTAAACAAACCAAAGATTATTTTATAAATAGTTAAAAGTGATAAATTGTAGTGTCTTTCTAATAATGATTGTAAGTTGGTTAATAAGATTAAATAAATATCAAACCTAAAGTATCATCATAAATAGACTAAATTTTAATTTTAAAATAATATCTTTACTTCTATTTATAAAGTTATGTCTTTAAATTTTAACATATTATACTTAATTTATTACATTTAAAATGTTGTTGCATGTAAACCATTATCAGTTTAAAGCTACAATTTTTGAACAATTTGGACAAAATACTTAAATTGTTAATTTAAATATAATATTATAGTGTCAACTTAAATATAAATTTCAGTTGGACTAAAAAACCAAATAATATTTTGTAAATAGTTAAAAGTGATAAATTATAGTGATAAATGCAAAAAACTAAATTCTAATATCAGTTTAACTAAAATATTTCCTAAATATATTTATATAATCGTTATAAATTTTCAAATAAGTAGCTTAAAATAACTTATAATAACAATAGTTAAAAACAACTCTAAATAAATGATTATATTGTTACCTTTAAAATCAAAAAATAATGTTTGATGTTTTAAATAATTATAATGATAGAAATTAAAACATTAAGCAAATATATTTTTAAAAAATTAGTTAAAAATAACAACTATAAATAATATTAAACCATATATAATATTTAATTTTATTGATGTGTAACTCGCGAGTAGAAGTCATTCAAACGATTAGGATTATGACGTTATAATAGATTTATATATTATCATATAATTCAAAATAGTCAATATATTATATCAAATTAACATCCGAATTATTATTTCAAATTTAACAACAATGTTAGTGTTATATTTTAAAATATATATATTTGTAAAGACTTCAACTATATAGGTGTTTCTGCGCATTATAATGTCAACTCAAATATAAATTTCAGTTCCATTTAAAAAAACTAAAAAATATTTTGTAAATAGTTAAAAGTGATAAATTGTCGTGATAAAAGCAAAAACTAAATTGTAATTTAAATTTAACTAAAATATTTCTTAAATATATTTTTATAATCGTTAAAAGTTTCTAAATAAGTAGCTTAAAATAACCTACAATAACAATAGTTTAAAACAACTCTATATAAATGATTATATTGTTAGCTTTAAAATAAAAAAACAATGTTTGATGTTTTAAATAATTATAATGATAGAAATTAAAACATTAAGCAAATAAATTTTAACAAATTAATTAACAATAAAAACAACTATAAATAACATGAAATCATATATTATATTTAATTTTATTCATGTGTAACTCGCGGGTAGAAGCCATTCAAACGATTGAGATTATAAAGTTATAATAAATGTATATATATATATATATATATATATATATATATATATATATATATATATATATTATCATATAATTCAAAATAATTAATATATCATATCAATTTAGTATATACAAATTATTATATCAAATTTAACAACAACGTTATTGATATATTCAAAAAATCATATATTTGTAAAGACTTCAACTATATAGGTGTTTCTGCGCAACGTGCGGACATTCGTCTAGTATATTATAAAGAAGCATTTTTCCTTGATTCTTATGCATTAAAAACCCCTAATTTAATTTCCTTGATTCTTATGCATTTAAAACCCCTAATTTAATTAATACCACTCAAAAGACTTTATAATAATGATTATTAATTGGTTCTTTAATATAAAAATAACATGAACAACATCAAATATAATAAGACCAAGTATATATACTGTGAATAATAGGAACATCTTTGTCATATTTTGCAATGATTAAAGACCTTTAAAAAAGGAAAAAAGACTTTTATGTGTGTATTGCTTTTCATATAAATTTCAATAATATCTTTGTTTTTACCAATTGTTCAGTGTGTGGTTACTTCCGGTATGTCACATGTTATATTCGGGGTAGAAACTTTTGCATAAAGGTGCACCTAATTCCATTCACGACATGCACTAAATTAATATTTGACGTATGCATACACAAACAAATCTTGCAGATCATTTTAAATTCTTTGAATAGATTCGGTTTTCATCATCACTCATTCAACAATGGAAATTATCTATATCTTCACTATTTGACACTTCCATATGTATCCATGCTTGTAAGAATTTTTATTTTTCTTAAGATTTTTTTTTAAAACCATTTTAATATTTAAGAATATAAAAAAAATGAAAAACAGTGAAATATTCATCATTGGCATCACAATGTGGATTTATTGAACCCTAGAAGATACTGGAAAATTTGAAGTCATATTAGCAAATGTATTGCTACATATAAATTGTTTTACATGTCAATTGATCTTAGTTTCCATTAAAGTCATGATTTTCTATTTGATCATATAAAATATCATATGTGAACTAAATGCAGGTCATGCATATTTTAATGTTGTACTGGTACAACTAATACCAATGAGTTGCCATGATCCTTTTCAAGTCATGAGAAGGTAATCATTTTAACATTCATTTTTTGTATCTATACATTTAGTCTTAACCAAGAATTTTTGTGGCATAATAGAAATTAGATGTTGGTATCCAGACTATGCATATATGGTTTTAGTTTGCCGATGTTGGAATATGAAAATTAATATGATGCATTGATATGCATTTAACAAATAATAAGTACAGCATATTATTTACTTA